GGATTCTAGGCCATTTAAAGTGTACTTAAATCCATTACTCACCTTACAATGCACAAATGTACTTTTGATTACATGTAGGACTGAGGAGGGAAGACTATGAATGTTTTCTAGAATGACGGATTCCTGAGTGGCACAGACATGCTGAACACATCCTGTAAGAGCTCCTAATAGCTGTACCATTGTCTGGAAATAAGGGAAGAAGTTTCATTCAGAACATATTTTCTGTGTACCTAAAAGGTGTCAGACAATATGCTGGATGCTAGGGATATAGCAGTGAACAAAACAGACCCTCTGTTCCTCCTTACACAAAATGTCAGTCTATCAGAACTACAAGTATACAGACTGGCTAGCCATTTGGTTTAAAAAGAAAAAAAGAAGTTGGAATCCTAACCCACACATCAAAGGATATGGTGGTGTTCTACACATACACTTGTAAATTATGGGGGGCATGCTATCTTGATTATCTGTCTTCTTATAGGAGTTTAGATGCTTACTCAATGAAATTGTAAAAATTCAGAATTTATGTTTCTGTAATAACTTTAATTCTATATATTTAATTCCACCATTGGGCCATCATATAAAGAATCCACAGCTAATTAAGATCAGTATAAAAATTCTCACACTCTTTAAGCTCTCCTCCCCCCTCCCTTTTCTAACATTTGACATACTTGTAAAATATTTCTTAGAGTGGTCTGGATTTCTAAATTTTGGCTTGACAGTCCTCTGGCTTGACTTGTTAACTCATACATCATGTCATCAAATAATTTCACAGTCTGTGAAAACAAAGCTGGTTATAAATAGTAGTAACAAGTCACTAGAAAGGAAAAACATTTATCTTTAAAGAAAAAAATTAGATGATTTGATTTTGCATTATTAATAGCCATGGGATATTGTCTAGTATAAAAACTGCACCTAATAAAGTTAATACATATGTTTTGTATATAATTTTTGGTATATTTCTACTACAGAATCTCTTAAAAAAATAAACCTTGAACAAAAATTGGTTTTCCATTTCTATGATTGGAATCTATTCAGTAACGTCCATAAAAGAACTACTAAAAGTTCATTTTTTAGTGCTATAACAAAAATGCTACTCTTACACTTAAATAAATAAAAGATGATGATCTTATTAACCAATCAACATTCCTGTGGACATTTACACGGATATTTCCTGGCAGTGGTAATGAATTTGTGAATTACCTCTTCCCTTGTATTCTAACCAGTTCCCCTTTTTGATCCACCCAAAATACCATTCTTGGTTAGAGGTACACTATGTGACCTCAGAAATAAGTGTTTTTGCCTATGAAAAGTTAGCCACTCTAAGATCTTAACACTCTAAGCAGAAGCATTGCAGGAATAACCAGAGTCAACATACACCGTAATTAAAGAGGATAGTTTCCTATAGGCCTCTTAACACTCAGCATCCCGGTTTTCATCTGCATAATAGCTGAAACTTTTTTTGGCAGCCAAGAACAAATTCTAAGAAACTTTTTAGATGGAGAAAAATCGAGTGAATATCAGTAGAAGAAGTTCTGATGACTACTTGCTTCAAAGCCCAACAAAGAAGTCCATTCCAGTAAGAGATGTTATCATTAAAAAATGTTTCATTTTGGCACCAAAATACATTTAGTTCTTGCAATTAAAAAAAGTATGACTGTGTTTTTCAGAGAAAAGGTATACCACATGTAACTAAAAAGTAATAATGTAGTGGTGAATTGGATGTTTTTTCTTCAGTTACTTAATTTTACCAATATTTCAGTCTTTTTTTATTCTAAGACTTCTTTAATAAATTTTGGCTCCATTTTTCCAGACAATGAGGTTTAACAGTTATCAATAAACTCTGCAGAGAAGATACAAAAAGACAACTAATTTCATTACTCACCCCAAATTTTCAATGAATGGCTTTAAAATACAAGAGTATTTAAAATTAGCTACAAATAATATAAATTCAACTAGTATAAGATCTATGCTCTCTGAAAATATATTTTTAATCACCTAATGATCACATTAACAACATCATATTCTCACATGAGATCAATTCTTAACTACTTTATTTGTATTTCAAATATGTGATACATTAAGGAAAAAAGGGCTTCGATTAAAAATAAATGGTAAAGCTGAGGCAAGATTTTAACACCCTTTATAACATATAGACTGGTTGAGATAACAATAATACTATACCTTTGGCAGTACTTGTGAAAAGAAAGTCTGTTCCAATGTCAGGTGGTTCATATGAGGTAAAAACATTTCTACGATAATTTTCAGAATTTCTATAAAGCAAAACAATAACATTTTGTAGCAATATTAAGTCACATCAGCCAACAAAGATCACTACCTCTTCCCAAATGTGGGAACATGTAAGTACTACCAACCTAAAGCTTTGTACAGTTTCAAAATGCCATAGTCTATCCAGAGAAACTATTAAGAAATAAAATAACAGCTCCCCCCTAAAAAAACCCCAAACAACCTGTATGTCCAGCAACTAAGGATCCGTCAACGGATGTGGGTACATCTACTGAAAGGATCTGCTATCATTAAATGATTGTTAGAGATTGTGTAAAACCATGATTAACTGTTCACAATACTTTAAGGTAAAATGAAAAAGGTTACAAACAGGATAATTTCAATCTTAATATATATAAACATGTATATACAAAGAATAACAGACAGGCTGGCAGGGATATACAGAATCAAGATGAGAATGTTCTATGACAAAATCTTAACTATTTCAGATTAATGATTGTTTTATTATCTTTTCTGTTTTTCTGCATGTTACAAATTTTCTATGACAAATTTGTGTAACTCTTATACTCAGGATAAACAATAATTGTTACCTAAAAAAAATTAGGCCCCACAGGCAGTACAGAGGTTCAAGATTATAAACAAATATTCCATAACCAAGTGAAACGTAAATAGAAAAAAAACTCAAAATATAAGTAAAGGATGTAGGCTAGTCTTCATTCTCTACCTCTTCTCCTAAGTCATGTCAAATAAGATGAATGAAAATAGAGGAAGGTGAGAAAGTCCACTTTTCCAAACAATGCATCTGTTATGCCTCAACAATCAGCTTTTGTAACTTAGACAGTATTTTCTAATTGACACTAAATATATTAAGAGGCTGAAAGTTATTAAGTAGACTGCAAATTTTGTTTTATATAGGTCTAACCAGTTTAACAACTAACATTTAAAATTTACAGTGGGCTTATACACATGTTATCAAACAGAAGACTCTGGTATCTATCCGAAACGGAATTTAAAACTTTAAGAACTTTAACTTGAAGTGATTTGGTCATTTTAAGTAACAGAAGATTACAAAGGCTGTAAAATCCCAACAGGAAGAATAAACTTAAAAGTGGAATACAAAACTGTAATTGAGATACGCGGGACTCAGGCCTTAATGTCATCAGAGTAATCATACAATCAAGATAATCTTACTTACGAATATGCTCAATCCAACCGTCAGAATTCTGATACATAGAGTAAAAAAAAAATTAAGGAAGATACTCCTATTACAATAATAGGATAGTCACTGCTGATAACAGGTTTTAAAAGGCCCCTTCTTGAAACGTTTAAGCAACGATCAGTAAGAGGTTGAAATGAGACTCAAATCACTGGCTTAATTTTGCTTTTAAAAACTTAAATGTTTATTAGGTAGATGAACAATATAATGAAACTAAGGAAATACTTTCAAAACTGCTCAAGGATAAACTTATCTTTTCAAACTATATGTAGTTGTGACGTATTTCTAATAGATAAGAAATAGTCTTATAATAATCTATGGATCTCCAGTTTCTGAAATAATCTTCCTTCTCAGCACTCCTGTAGTACTTTATCTGCACCTGTCTTAAGTCACTGATCACTTCCCATCTTCCTTTCAGATTACTTGCACACTTGTCTTACCACCTTCTCAGACTGAAACTCTTCTGCACATAGCTTACAAATATGCGATAATTATCGTATGTTCACTACAAAAGTTAACAGTAATCACATTATAAACTATACACCTTTATACCATCAAGAATAATTGTTAGAAATGCTTTACTATAAAAATAATATAAGAATTATAAAATAATGTATCCATAAGAAAAATGAACATACCATAACCTCATCACAGTAACACAAGAAATGACTCTTCTGAAATCATACTTTGCATACACCTATTTTACGTAAAGCAATCAAAATGAAGTATAGTCATTAATTCATTTTAGTTCGGTAGGGTAGAATGTGCCTCACGGAAAAATTTCAGTAAAACCTCTTCCAAAATTAAACATAAGTTATGATTATAACGTTAACAAGACTGGAAAACAACATGTAAAATGCAAAACATGAAAATAATTACGTTAGGGTGATGGGATTGTGGATTTATTGAAAACTTCTTTCATTTGTTGAAGTGTTAAACATAAAACCAAAAGCTGAAAAAAAATTATCTAATGAGACTTCTAGGCAGTCTTAAAACATGACAATATTTTCCAGCCGTTTACTGAATGCGTACTATGTGCTAGGCACTATTCCAGGTGCTGGAGACAATGCAGTGAAAACGAAATTCCTGCCTTGATAAACTTTAGGGTATTTTGAGGGGGAAAAAAAAAAAGAAAAAAGAAAGTAAACAAGATAATTTCTATTAACAGTAACACTGCTCTTTTGAAAACTGAACAGGGCAATGTGATAAGTATGAGAGACTGGGTTTGGGGGAACCAGCTAAGACTGAGGGCTCTGAAAAGGGCCCCCTAAGGAAGTGACATATGAGCTGAGATGTGAATAATGAGACATGCAAAAGGCTAGCAGAGTAACAAACAAGGCTGAAGGATCAGCAAGCAGGAAGATCTTGAGGTAGGTGAGCTTCCTGTATGGACAGAACATAGTGAGTTAGGTAGGACAGAAGGACGACGCTGAGAACATGAGGAGTCTTGAAAGAAAAGGTTAGCCTGTATTCCTAATTTAAGAAGCCACCGGAGGGTGGTTTAAAAAGGAAATGACATGGCATCTTTCATTCTGAACGTTTTTTGTAGAATGGATTATAGAACGATGAGTAGAAGCAAGGGAACCGTTAATTAGCCCAGCTGAGAGGTTATGGGGGTTTGAAATAGTGTGGTAGTAATAGGGATGGAGTTGGATTCAAGATAGTTTGAAGTCAGAAACAACAGAACTTGCTGACTGGAAATTAGAGAAAGGACTGAAGGTTTTGGCTTGTGAAGTCATTTAGATGAAAAAAACTGGGGAAGAACAGGCTGGCATTCTCCTGAATTTCGAGATGCAAAACCAGGTAGGAATGTTGACTTTCAATTACTGAAATCCCCCTGTAGGCTTGAGGGGAAAAAGAGGAACGGTATTCCTTATCTTTGTTCTGCCAAAGCCTAACACCTGCCAGGTACCTATTATGTACCTAGGAAATGTTTTTGAAGACGAGAATGGCTGTTTCCCACGTCAAAATCCTCAAGGACAGCAATTCTGTATCTGCACTGCGACTAAGAAAGGGCTTTGGTACCTAAGTGGGATTTTGCCCACCCCCAGGTGAATGATTTCAAGGCAACAGTAATGGTTACATGTGGCGTCAGCTGTAAATTATTTGTGCAGTGTTCGGACTCTCTCAAGTGAAAGTCATTTTTTCTTTTCAGTGATTTTATGTTGAAAGTGTGCTCAAAAATGTAAAAAAAAAAAGGAAAAAAATTACCTTTTAACATGAAAGGCTAGGACTCCAAGCACATATACAACCAAAAAGGGATTTGACTATTAAGAAATTGTCTGCACCTGGACACCGGAGGCATTAACTACCTCAAACCCAGCAAACAGCCAATTACCAAAGGAAGCAACGCCTTCTCACCAGCTATGAACAAAAAGCGACCCGAAAACAGATGCAGAACATTTACACTGAATTTTTTTTTTACCAACTTAGCACCATGGAAGAACTACGTATTTGACTCTCACAATCGTGAGGAAGGTAATCCTATTTACCACCCATTTTAGTGATTAAGAGCTCAGAATATCCCGCTCTCTACTTCATCCAGAGTCGGCTCACAAGTCTGAGCAGCACAAGTCTGAGTCCCTGCCCGAACTCCCGTTCTCCCCATGCAAAAATATTCGCATTTGAGAAAACGCCACATCCACCGCCAAAACCACAGCGCAGAACACCTCTACAAGCACTGCCAACGCCAACGCCAGGCACGCCTTGGGTCTCGGCACCCACGGCTCTCTCGCTCTCCCCTCATTCCCTCGCTTATCAACGGACAGGAGAGGGTTGAGGACGCAGGAACACAACAGGGCCCGGAGGCGGGGGGTGTGTTGAGACTCAGAAGAAAGGGTGAGGCCCGCCCCACACACCTCTCTAGGTGGAAGCGACTATGAAGGATATAAGGAGACGAGGCAGGACGGACGGCAGCTCCCGGCGGCATAGCTCCTCCGGCCAGCTACTTATTTCTTCCAGGGGAACCGCGCTCGCTGGGACCGCGCGTTCCTGAGACATGCTTTCGCCCAGGAGCAAAGCTTCCAAACACTCCCGCCACGGCCAAGACCGGAAACTCCCACAGTCCCGGCAGGCCTTGCGAGCTCCCCGCCCGCATCAAAACCATAGAGAGGAAGCTGGCCGCTTTCCTCAGTGAGCCGGGCCCCTACGCTGCTGGGCAGAAAGCCAGGCTTGTCTGGCCCGCGGAGGACTCGACTCGCTGGTGCGCGCTTTCCGTCTGGAAGGTCTGGCTGGCTGAGGACGCGCGGTCACCTGGGGACCTGCGGAGCGGTGAGCATCTCCAGGTCTGGATCATTGTCAGCTTCGCCTTGAGACGCTCTGGGGAGGTGAGAGCCGGAAGTCCCCAGATTTGCTACCCTCAGTCCGATGAGATTACATATCTGAGGTCGGGTTTGATCTGGGATCTGCATCCGGAAATGACTCCAAGCCCCGCGTTACGGTAGGGTAGAAACAGGTGCGTTCCTTTCCACTCAGCTGTGTTGGCCCTACTTTGTACATCACGTGTGATGGGGATAAAGACCCCACCTGCCAGAGTTGCTGTGCAAATTGAAGCAGGTGGTCTATATTAAGTATTTAGCACCGTGGATACAAAGAATCTCGGTAAATTTGATGTCATTTTCTAGGGGCCTCTCCAAACGGTTCAGTGCCTCTATGTTGTGTCAAATTAATCTTTACTTGTTACTCCAAAGTTACCCGACTCCCGTACACTTAGGGCTGCTGGTCTCCACTAAATGTTGTAGTGAGGTGCCCTGAATGAATTTGCGCACTCCAGGGCAGAACGGTGCCTGTTTTTAAAGGGATACTCATTTACCAAAATCCAATCTTGAAGTCATTTTAGTTGAAACAATGACAGACTGAAGTGAAGGAATTCTGGCAGTTTAGGTGGTAAATATGTTTAGGCAGAGTCACAACAGATGAAAGACACTGAGTAGCGAGGCTTGTCATCTCCTGCCTGATAATTTAGGACTTGATGTTATTTCTCGTTGTTGCTGCTGTTGTTGTTTTGTTTGCTTGTTTTTAAAAGTTCGTTTCCTTCTCCAACTTTTGAACCCTGAAGGGTGTCTGTATTTCCAAGTATCTTTATCTCCCTCTCCCTCCACAGCTTTTATAGAGAAGGCAGCTGTTGGTGGTAGGAGGGTGAGGACTGTTTAATATTACATTTTAGTGAAATGTGTCGTTTTGCTTTTTAATAACCATTTTCTGTTTTTTTATTCAGAGCTACACTGAAAGAAGAGCAAAGGCCTCTAAAAAGTCATTCGGAAACATCTTTAAGTATTTGTAACTGTGTATATGCAGCTAAAGAGAAATTGACTTCCAACAAAACTAACTGAATAATCGAAGCAGGTTTATGTGTGCATCATCAATTCTATCCAGAAGTTGAAGAATCTTCCTTTGAGTTTAAGGATTGTGTGCATTTAATAAGAGAATGACTTTTCAATTTAATTTCAATATAGAAGATCATCTGGAAAATGAATTAACACCCCATGGAGGTGGAGCTTTGGCTCTGGATTCCTCAAAAGAGTCTTCGGTCTCAGAAAGAGAAAAAGGTAAACATAGGGACAAAAAATGTTCTACAGAACAGTTCGACTTGCCTCAGGATCATTTGTGGGAACATAAGTCAAAGGAAAATGCAGCTCTGTCTCAAGACACAGACATCTCAGTCAATACAGCTAACAGTTCGAGTAACTTGGAGCCACGTGAAAACTCTCAGCTCTGCTTGAGAGTTGCCAAAGAGCATGCTATACCTAAGGATTTAAAGAAAGTTTTAGAAAATAAAGTCATAGAAACATTACCAGGTCTCCAGCATGTTAACATATCAGTGGTGAAAACCAACTTGTTGAAAGAGAACTTCCCTGGAGAAAACATCATTTCGAAAAGCTTTTCTTCTCACTCTGATCTGATTACAGGCGTTTATGAAGGAGGCTTAAAAATCTGGGAATGTACCTTTGATCTCCTGGCATATTTTACAAAGGCCAAAGTGAAATTTGCTGGGAAAAAAGTATTGGATCTTGGTTGTGGGTCCGGGTTGCTGGGTATAATTGCATTCAAGGGAGGAGCCAAAGAAATTCATTTTCAGGATTATAACAGTATGGTAATTGATGAAGTAACATTACCTAATGTAGTGGCCAACGCCACTTGGGAAGATGAAGAAAATGATATAAGCGAACCAGATGTGAAAAGATGCAGGAAATCAAAAGCAGCACAAGAACTACGTAAATGCCAGTTCTTTTCTGGGGAGTGGTGTGAGTTTTGTAAGCTTGTACTAAGCAGTGAAAAAATCTTTGAAAAATATGATCTCATTCTCACCTCAGAAACCATTTATAATCCAGATTATTATGGTCCTTTGCACCAAACATTCCTTAGACTGTTAGATAAAAATGGACGGGTGCTTTTGGCCAGCAAAGCACATTATTTCGGTGTGGGTGGAGGTATTCATCTCTTTCAGAAGTTTGTAGAAGAAAAGAACGTATTTGAGACTAGAACACTCGAAATAATTGATGAAGGGCTAAAGAGATTCCTAATTGAAATGACTTTTAAGTACCCCAGTTAATGTCTAATGAATGTCCTAAGTGAAATAAACAATAACCAAAACCTTGTTTTGAATGTTTGATTTCTGCTTTGTTACTATTTTTTTCTGAAATTATGATATTTGTGTAGTTTTGTTTATCCAAGTAGGGGAACAGCTGTATTAGCAACATTGTGCTTGAGATTGAGAAAATCATGTCCCTGGGCATTTGAAAAGAACTCCTAGAAAATCATTTTATGAGAAAGTTTTCTGCTCACCACCTTTGACATATAAATTTGTTCCCAGGAATATCTGCCGTTTTTTTATCTCAAGTTAGAATTTCTTCCCAGATTTTGTTAGTTTCTGTTCACGTGAATTGCCTGGTCCATCACCATGCTGTCAGTTCTAAAGGCATACATATGCTTCCCTAAATGGTACCAAGCCCAAATATTGGATTGAAGGCCTTAGGTAGCTAAGGAGAAGTTTTTGTTTTGTTTTATTTTTATATTCATTTATCTTGTATGATAATAATTAGAATGCTGAGCAGTTGAATTCACACTGAGATGGAGAAAATAAAGGGCAGTCATTATAGAGAGTATAGAAGTGAAACAAAACTTACAGTTCTTGTAGCCAAGTAAGTAGGAGGCCCAAGGGTCTTGGTAGGAGGAAAAAGAATAGGAAATGGAGAATTCCAGATTCTGGAAAGTATAGACTCTTCACTATTTAAACAGGGAAGAGAAGGGGAGAAAAAGTTTTTTGATTCTAGTGCAGAAATGTTCACACTTAACATAAAATTGGGATCTGCCTCCTTACCTATAACTATTGTGCAACTGGCAATATTTTTTCTTTTTTGGAGGAACCTGAAATAATTGTATGACTTGGATTCCACGAAATGTGATATTTACTGGACATTCGTTAACTAGGCACTTTGTATAGTATTTTGCTTAATATTTAAAACCTAATAAGGTGTATATCATCCCCATTTTAATAATGATCATAAAGAGCTGACAGTTTTCAGCATTTACTATATGCAGGATAAAAGACATTTACATATACTAACATTTAATAGTCATAAAAGCCCTGAATTAAGTTATAATTACTATCTCCTTTTCATAGATAAAGAAATCAAGACTCAAGAAAGTTAGTAATTTGATCCCAATCATATTCCTCACATTCAGAACCAGAATCTAAACTGAAATCTTCTAAAAAGCTGTACTCTTTTCACCACCCCAGTGATCTTACAATGCCTGTTTTTCATCACAAATATTTGTTAGCACCTTTATTATTCTGAAATGAAAGTCCTAGTTAAAGAAACTTATTTACACACATCATTAAAAATTATATGAATTATACATAATCCCTAATGTGTATATATATATCATAATCTGTATATGATATATATATATATATATATA